GCAACTTGGCTTGCAAAACCCATGCGGCGGCGATTGCGATGAGCGCTCGGCGTCGGCCGGCGCGCCCCTGCGGCCGCGCCAGCGCAAACGCGCGCGCTCAGCGGCCAGCTAGTCGGCGGCGCTGACCGCTGGGCCCACCCCAGCGGGCACATCAATGCGAGTCGGCGACTTGGGCGGGCGCGGCACCACAGCACGGTCGACAACGGTAGACGCGACGATGACAGTAGCGACGCTGGCGGCGACGTTGACAACGACGACGGCGCGGCCAGCGACGGCGCCGATGCCGATCGCGCTGACGACGGTGACGGCGCACTCGCGTCGGCGATGAAGGTTTTGAACGGAGCTCGACGCGCGCGCGGTCGACGCGCGAGCGCGACCCGCATGGTGAATTTTGACGCGGATCGCCCCCCCCCCAGCACGAGCGCAAGGGCGCGCGAATGATCCCGGCACGCGGCTTGAAAGGTCCTCTTGGTAGAATCCCATGATTTTTCCATCAAGAGAACTACGGCTTTCAAAAGAATTAGCAGAAGCGCGAGCGCAAGCTTTTCTTGACATTCATGTTGCGAGACCATGTGCTGCAATGTGTTGTTCGACACTCGAATTCGAAACCGCTTCAAAACCGAAGGTTCTCGACAGCTTCCAGCAGGCGCGCGACGACGCGCGCGCGTGCACTTCGCTTAATTTGTCGCCAAGGATTCGCGCGGCAGCACGAGCGCAAGGGCGCCCGGACGATTCCGACGCGCGCGAAGCCCTTTTGGCAGCACTTTCTCAAAGTATTGAACCACCTATGGTTTCCCTGGCAATTCGCAAAATGGCGCGCGCAAACTTTTTTTTTTGTTTTTCAAATTCCGCGTCGCGAAACCACGGGTCATATATGTTGTTTGGACACTCGATTTTGAAAGCCTTAAGACACCGAAAGTCTCTCATGGACTTCTGCATGCGCGCGCGACGACGCGCGCGTGCGCACCTCGTCCCACTTTTTGCAAGAGATGCTTGAAAACTGCCGATGCGTAATGAACGAATGCGCGCGCATTGTTTTTGCGAGAGGATAGCAGGGAGGGCGGACACCTGCTCGCCTGGGATGGTATGAATTCATGAGGACAGCGACCAAGGAGTCAGAATCATCTGCACATTACAACGCGCGAGGCCGAATGGATAACCCTGGGGGGGGGGGTAGAACCGAAGTTCTTTTCAGAGGCGAGAACTGACTACCCTGCGCCGCGGTTGGCCATCCCCCATGCCCTTGCAAACATCCCACCCATGCGGCGGCGATTGCGATGAGTGCGTGGCGCTGACTGGAGCATCTCTGCGGCCGCGCCGGCCCGCGCATGCACGCGCGCGCAGCGGCCAGCTAGTTTGCGCGGCCGACGCGGTCGCGGCGGCGCTGACCTCTGGGCACATCCCAGCGGGCACTTCATTGCGAGTCGGCGCCTTGGGCGGGCGCGGTACCATGGCAACGTCGAACACGGTGGACACGCAAATGACAGTAACGATGCTGGCGACGATGTTAACAGCGACGACGGCACGGCCAGTGACGGCGCCGATGCTGATCACGCCGACGACGATGACGGCGCCCTCGCGTGGGTGATGAAGGTTTCGGAAGGAGTTTGACACGCGCGCGCAGCCGACGCGCGAGAGTGACCCGCATGGTGACTTTTGACACGGATCGTGCCCCCCCAGAACGCAAGCAAGGGCGTTCGAATGATTTCGGCATGCGGCGCGAGAGGCCCGTTTGGCATAATCCAGCGACAGTGTTTTTTTTTTTGGTTTATTTCTTTGTGTGTGTGTGTGTAAAAAAAAAAAAAAAAAAAAAAAAAAAAACGTGTGGCGTCCAAGAAGACTGTCAGGGCGCGAGCGCAAGCTTTTCTTGAACATTCTTGCAAAACCAAACGTTTAAAATAGCGTCGGGACACTCTGTTTTGAAGTCCCTGCGAAACCCGCAGGTTTTTGAATGATTTCGGCATTCGCGCGCGACGACGCGCGCGCGTGCATTTCGCCCCCATTTCTGTTGCAGAAGATCCTCGCGCCAACACGCGCGAAAGGCCGTTCGAACGATTTCGGCAGGCGCGCACGCGAAGCCCGCTTGGTAGCATGTTCTGAAATGTATACATCTATGTTCTATGTATGATTCATGTATTTCTTCTGTGGGGAAAAACGCAAGATCACGCGCAAGTTGTTGTCGAACTTCTGCGATGCGGGTCCATGTTTTCTTGTTCTTAGACACTCGTTATTGCATTGATTGCGAAAACTTTTGACGCGAGCGTATACCTTGTTCGCCCTCTGTTTGCAAGGCATGTTTGAGACTGATTTGTGATAGACGAATGCGCGCGCATTGTATTCTTCAAAGAGGATGACACCGGGGGTCGATACCAGTTTTCCTGGGATGGTACGGACTCATATTTAGGATGGGCGGTGGGGCAAAAACATATGCAAATTGAAGTACGGACAAGAGTACAGATAATCCTGGGGGATATAATCTACTCTATTATTAAAACACAAAAAAAAACTCTATGCGACGGCGGCGGCGGCGACGGGCGGTACCGCCCGCAAAAGCCGCCACTCGCCCCGAGCGGCGGCGACGGCGACGGCGACGGCGACGGCGACGGCGGCCACAGGCGGCACCGCCCGCAAAAGCCGCCATTCACTCCGAGATGGTTAAGCCAAGAAGGACCCCCTAAGTGCAAGCACCGTTTGGGGAATATGAACAGGAGCAGGAGGAACAAAAAGAGGATAAAACCGACGACGGCGAGGGTAAAGGGGTTCAAGGAGGGCGAGGAGAAACAAGATGCCGAGGAGGCAGAGGAGATGGAAGAGGAGGCGGTTGACAACGACAAGGGAGGGGAAGGATATGTAGGAGAAGTAGAACGACGACGGCGACGATGACGACGAAGGCGAAGAGGAGGGAGGAGGGGCAAGGGGGGGAAGAGGAAAAGGCAAAAGGTAAGCTGAGCGCGCGCGCGCACCATATCTGACATCCCACCCCTCACACCCAAATGGACTCCCACATGAAAATGCCTCGACTCCGTAGCCGCCCCATTAGAGTCGTCGGATGATCCTGTACGAAGCAGCACGAGTAACATTCGTAGTCGTGGACCGCTTCTCGGGCGAAGGGGGGGGGGCGGACAGACGCGGAGGAGAACGGAACACGCTGCAGATGGACGACGGGGGCAGGGCACACGCGGGGGGGGGGGGAGGCTGGCACCCGGACCTTGCCCCGACACCTGCGACGCCGCGACCTCCTCGTGGCGTGGGCCCGCGGAGCTCTCGGTCCCCCTCCCGAGACCGGCTCTTCGTCTCGGACGTTCTGCTGGTGGCCCCAAAGTGGCCGGGAACGGCCTCCCCCCCGGCGTGCCCAAACCACGGCCAGGCAGAAACCGGCCCGACCGATCTATCTCGAGGCGAAAGAGGTCCGGGCTCGTCTCTTTCGTCATCGGCCGCCGTGGCCGCCACCTTGCCCCCATGGCACGTGGAGGCGGGGTGGAATGCCAAGGGCTTCCTGGCAGGGTTTCCGCATTCTTCTGACGACCCCCTCCCGCCACTCATGCAGTTCTGCGTGCACCGCACCCCCACGGTCCTGACGCGTCCCTGGCGCTCTCCAGGGCCTCCAGGCGGCTTCAAAGGCGGCCAAGGCAGGCTACCAAGGCTGTAAAGGCCAAGATGAGCCCAGACACAGCTAAGATGGTCCAAGATGGCCCCAAGACGGCCTAAGATGGTCGCAAGACAACCCAAGAGGCCAGCGATACAGTCCAAGAGGGCTCCAAGAGGACCTCCAGGAGAGGTCAAGATCAGCCCCCCCAAATATTAATCGGTTTCGCGTGATCACGTGTTTAGGCCCCCGTCAACCTAAGGGCCCCAAAGACCTCAAAGATGGCCCTAAAACGACGCACAATGCCCCCAAGAGAGTCCGGAAAGCCTTTCTCAAGGTGGCCCAAAGACGGCCCAGAGAGGCCCCCAAGACGTGCTCCGAAGGTGGCAGACCGCATAAGAGCGCCATAAGACAGCCCAAGGAGCCTCCAAGATGCCCCTTGAAGCCCCCAAGACGCTCCCAAGAGGCCTCCAAGAGGTCCCCAAGAGGTCCGAGGCCCTCAAAAGGCCACAAGAGAGGATGGAAGAAGAGATGGAAGGAAGACGTCTACGAACACGAACAAAGACACCCCGACACGACGCGGAGGGACGTGTCACATGATGCAACTCCCCGAAGCTTCGGGACACGAGGTGTCACACGCTGCGTTTCCTGTGCGCTCCTCGAAGAGCTGCCACCCAGATTACTAAGCTAGCACGGTGGCGAGACTTGCCGCAGGCAACTGGCTGCCTGCCCTAGGGGGTGTTGTGACCAGGAATTCGGCATAGATCCAGCCCGTGGCGACGAGCCGTGTGCTCGAGTGGCAACGAACATCCGAAACAGCGATATGAGGACGAAGGATGCTTTGCACTGTTCCATGTTAGCCACATGCGGCTCGCACAACTCTGCCCGCCACTGCGTGGGGTAACCCAAACTTAACTCTGTTGCCAGGGCATCGGCTCGGAAGGCAGACCGAAACTGGCCTGGTAACCTTCCCGCTCGGAAGAGAAACTAGGAGCTCCCTCTCGCTGGACGGAAAGTAAATGATGAGTGCCGCCCCCTCCGACAACAAGCCCCTGACTCCCGGACTGGCATGCCCGAAGTGCCCGACAGCACGTGCTGCCCCAAACCGACAGCGGCCGCCGCTAGCGACAACGATCCCTGTCCGAGAGGAACGGGGGCTGCTGCTGTCGGTACTTGCTCGTGCCCATCGTTTCCGCACCTGGAAGAAGAAGACCTTCCCTGGCGCGCGGAGCGCGCCAGGGGCGGGACGCAGGCGCCGCCAGGGTGGGGACCCAGCGCGGATCCGAGAAACCCGCGCGGAGCGCCAGAAGTGTATGTTTATGTGGCTTCTTCTACGTCGGGTAACCCCCTTCGGCCCCCCCCTCCGGAGCGCCGGCGCTCGATCCACCGGCCGTGCCGCCGCTGAGGGGAGGGCTCTTGGGCGCTCCTTGGCACCGGCGAGGCGGCGCTGCGCGGCCCACGAGCAGCCCCAGCCCGCCCCCGCGGGCCTCGGCGGGGCGGGTGGCCGCGGCCCCGAGCGGCTGTCCTCTCCACCACCACCCCACCCTCCCTGCGTGCCACCTTGCTCTCCTGCGCGCCCCCTCCTGCGTGCAAACTCTCCTGCGTGCCCCACTCCCTGCGAGCCCCCTCTCTCCAGCGTGCCCCCCCCCCCATCTTCCCTCTCCCGTCCGTCCCTCTGTCCTGCGTGCCCGCTCCTCCTTCCCTGCCCCCACCCACCCCCCGCCCACCCACCTCCCCCCTCATTTTTTTCCCAGCCGCCCTGTGGTGCTGGGTCCTCGTTTTGAAGAGACAGCGCCGCGCGTTCTTCCTCTCCTCTCCTCCTTCCTCTCCTCGTCCCATTCCTGCCCCTGCTCTCCGCGCTCCGCATGTCCTCATCGTCATCGTCGTCATCACCACAACCATCACCATCACCATCACCATCATCACCATCACCATCACCATCACCACTACCATCATCATCGTCAGCATAATCGTCAGCATCATCATCATCATCATCATCATCATCATCATCATCATCATCATCGTCATCATCTTATCCATCATCACCATCATCATCATCACCATCATCATCATCATCATCATCATCATCATCATCATCATCATCGTCATCATCATCATCATCATAACCGTCATCATCATCAGCAGCAGCAGCCTCATCATCGTCATCATCAGCATCATCATCACCACAAACCACCATCAGCATCATCAACATCATGATAAGCATCATCATCATCATAACCACCATCATCACCATCAGCATCACCACCATCACCACAATCATCACAATCATCATCATCAGCATCATCATGGTCATCATCATCATCATCATCATCATCAGCATCAGCATTACTGCATCAGCATCATCATCACCAGCATCATCACCATCATTATCAGCATCGGCATCATCATAATCAGCATCACCATCGTCATCACCATCATCATCATCATGATCGTCGGCAGCATCATCGTCACCATCACCATCAGCATCATCAGCATCATCAGCATCAGCATCAGCATCAGCATCAGCAGCAGCATCATCATCATCAGCATCAGCATCATCACCACCATCATCATCAGCACCAGCATCAGCACCAGCACCAGCACCATCATCATCATCATCATCATCAGCATCATCAGCATAAGCATCGTATCATCATCATCATCATCATCAGCAGCAGCAGCAGTATCATATTCATCATCATTATCAGCAGCAGCATCAGCATCATCATTATCATCATCAGCATCATCACCAGCATCGTGATCGTCATCATCATCGGCAACAGCATCATCATCATCATCATCATCATCGTTATCAGCATCATCATCATCATCATCATCATCATCATCATCATCATCATCATCATCATCGTCATCGTCATCGTCATCGTCATCGTCATCGTCATCGTCACCACCAGCAGTGGCCGTCATCATCACCATCATCGTCATCATCATTATCGCCGTCGGGGACTGACGTGGCCCCCTGTGGAGCTCCACCGAAGGCCCCAATGGCAGGGTAAGCATGGCGGCCTCGGGCCAAATTCGGCACACCCATCTCGAGGAATCGTGGCCCCATCGGGAGCTCCATAGAAGGCCCCACTGGCAGGTTTCGCATGGTGGCCTCGGACCAGTATCGCACACCCCTCATGAGGATCGTGGCCCCATAGCGGGCTCCACATCAGGCCGCAGTGGCAGGGTTCGCATGACGGCCTCAGGCCAGTTCTGCACACCCCTCACGCGCGTCGCGGCCCCATGGGGAGCTCCACCGAAGGCCCTAGTGGCAGGGTTCGCATGGCGGCCTCGGGCCATTTCGGCACACCCTTCACACGCTTCGCGGCCCAATAGAGAGCTCCACCGAAGGCCCAAATGGCAGGGTAAGCATGGCGGCCTCGGGCCACTTCTGCACACCCCTCACGCGCGTCGCGGCCCCATGGGGAGTTCCACCGAAAGCGCCAGTGGCAGGGTTCGCATGGCGGCCTCGGGCCATTTGGGCACACCCTCACACGCTCCGTGGCCCCATGAGGAGCTCCACCGAAGGCCCTAGTGGCAGGGTTTGCATGGCGGCCTCGGGCCAGCATCGCACACCCCTCACACGCTTCGCGGCCCCATAGGGAGCTCCACCGAAGGCCCCAGTGGCAGGGTAAGCATGGCGGCCTCAGGCCAAATTCGGCACATCCCTCACGCGCGTCGCGGCCCCATCTCATCCTGCAATGTGTTCGTTCGCGGACGCACTCTTGGTGACCCTGCCCTGGCCTCCTCACTGGGAAAGCTTCGGGTTGCGCACAAACAGCCAGACTCCCGAGGTAGTCCCGGCTGGCTTCAATAGGCTCCCCCGAGTAGCCCGGGGCGGTTTCAACACCTCAACCCTGCGGCGCTGGGTTGTTGAGACCGCCATGGACTACTCGGGGGGGCTTGTTGAGGCCAGCTGAGACTACTAGTACTCGGGGGGCCTGTTGAGGCCAGCCAAGATTACCTGGGGGCGCTGTCTGCGCGCAACCCGGAGCCTGGCCAATCCTCGTATCCCCCCCTCTCATCCTCCCATCGTGCGGTATGAAGGATGGGACGAAAAGGTGTCCTCGTGCGGTTCGCGGATGCCCACCTGAGGGCGTCGCGCTGCCACGTCCTCAGCCGGTCGTGGCTCCTCATCGTCCTCCTCCTCCTCCTCCTCCTCCTCCTCCTCCTCCTCCTCCCCCTCATCATCATCATCATCATCATCATCATCATCATCATCATCATCATCATCATCATCATCATCATCATCATCATCATCATCATCAGCAGCAGCAGCATCGTCAGCATCAAAAGTGTCAGCATCATCATCAGCAGCATCATCCTCATCCTCATCCTCATCCTCATCGTCATCATCATCATCATCAGCATCATCATCAGCATCATCATCATCGTCATCAAAATTATCAGCATCATCATCATCATCATCATCATCATCCTCATCATCACCAATGTCGTCGTCATCATCATCAGCAGCAGCAGCAGCAGCAACAGCATCGTTCCCCTCCTCCTCCTCCTCGTCCTCCTCATCCTCCTCTTCTAGGCCTCACGTTCCTCCTCCGCATCGTCGCCCGCCTGGTCCTCCTCCGCCTCGTCCCCAGGCGTGGCATTTAAGCGGGCCGCCTCTGGGTCTGCGTCGCCCTCCGCGGCGGTCTCGTCCAGCTCCTGCCGCCGACGAGGCCCCCGCGGACGTGGGGCCCGCCCCGCGCGCTCGCGCTCTGGCTGCCGAAAGCTTCTGATGGGCTAAGGTCGGGCGTGCCCCCCTACAGGCGGATTTTGGATGAAAAATAAAATAAGAAGTTCGGGATGAAAGCGAGACCATCATGCTCGCTGGCGCGCGGCCAAGGCTCCGCATACGCCGAGCCCGAGGTGGAGTTCAGCTTTCCGGACACAACTGCGCAGGGCTTGGGGGGAGAATGAAAGTTCACGCTCTGGAGCGCGGCCCCGATTGCGACGATGTGGCAAGCATCACAGTGCACCGCGCCCAGGAGCTGGACTTTCAAGAGGAATCAGCGCTGCGTTGAGGACGCGCACGCTGGCCGCACATTTTGCAGCGTCGACGGCAAAAACTCCATGATGGAAGGAGCAGCGTCGACTTCGCTTCGACTCTGACGGGCTGGAGGAAGGGGCCCACTTGGGCCTACTTCCAGGACGAAAACGAAGGGACCAGGACCATATTCCAACAATGAGCAAGGACAGCAAGGATACGAGCAGGCGCACGAATCAGGCTGGCCAGCTCGGGCACTGTTTTCTTTCTTCGGGCAACGGTCGGTCCCGGAGAGTGGGCGGGGCTCCTGGTAATGGTAATGCTCGGGCGGGGTGAGCGTGCGAGAGCCGCAGCACACCTGTGAGCAGCACAGCATGCCTTCGGGTACCAGCATGTGGGGGGGGACCAGGCCCCCCCCCCACACCCACGTACGATCGTCACCGTTACCCAGGGGAGGGCGGGTAATGACCGTTGCGCGTGAGCGGATAAAAAAAACATGTCTCGAACGAGCAAGCGGGCTCCACCCACTCCCGCCCCAAAAATCACTTGCGCAATTGAAGTCTGGACCGGGCGCGCGATCCCAAGGTAAGGACCGTGCGGATTGAGACGGTGCTTGACCGCGCGCTGCCCCCGCTCCCGGATAGCTTGGCGAACGAAAGGAAAGGACCGCACCCATGAGGGAGAACAGCTTGCTCATGAAATGTGCGCGACGCTGAAGCGGGACCTGCATTTCGAGCTCGCGCGCACTCCCAACTAGCAAACCGAAGGCGCTCGCGCGCGCGTGGCCACGCATCGGACGACCGGGCGAGGGAAAACAACCTGGCCCACCAACAGGCGGGAGCAGAACTCTGAGAAGACCACAGGCGGCGCTCTGGCGAGAGCACCACTCAGCCCTTGTCGCGCGCAGCCAAACCTTCCGACTGCACTGCCGAAAGTATTATGTGCGCGGTGCCCACGGCGGAGCGCGAGCTTCACACGAGGGATCTGCTCACCGCTCGGGCGGGAACGAGAGCTCACTTGTGGGCGTGGCCCCGCCTCCGACGACTGGGCAAGCCAGAGATGTGCGCCGCGCCTGCCCGGAGCGCCACTTTCAGATAAGGCCTGTACAGCGCTTGGGCGAGCGCAGCAGCTTCTAAGCCGCACGATGCGAAAAGTTCTTATGCCCAAGCGCCTTGCTGTGCTTCGGGCACAAGAACATCACCTCCCTTTCCGCCGCAGCCGGACTTGACGCAGCAGTGCTTTTGGTCCCAGCCCTGGTTACGACGACGAGGGTCAGAGCCCCAAGAGGCCACAAGAGGGCCCCTCAACCAGACCCACCAGTACCATACCAGAGGCTCCTGGTATGATACTGCTGAGGGCCGTCTTGGAACCCTCTTGGTCCACTCTCGGGACCCTCTTGGAGACCTCTTGGAAATATCTTGGAGCCCTCTGCAGTCTCGGTCCCAGGAGGTCCTGAGACAAGCCCAAGGCGCACCAGGAGGGTCCGAAAGAACTCCGAGGGCCATGCAAACAGACCCTAACACTATCATACTGGGAGTCCTTCGGAGCCAGTTTGTGGGTTTCTGTGTTGTCTGGAACTCTTTGGACGGCGCTTCTTACTGGCTCGTGGGATGTGCCCGCGGCCTCGGGGCATTATGTACCAGACCAAGCAGACAAGCCCAGACCAGACGAAACATATCAACCTGATCACCAACATTGCAATGCAACAAGCATGCTCTTGCTGTGGATGGGCCGCAAGTAAAAAAAGACCAGACAGACCAGACTTGCCACCCAGACCACCTGGGTAAAGCAGACTAGCCAGACCAGCCAGTCAGACCAGCCAGTCAGACTAAAAAGATACCAACCAGACAAACTAGACCAACCAGACCAGATAGCCGTTCAGACCAGCGAAGCCTGGACCACACTAAGCAGATCAACCTGCCCGGACTAAGCAGACATGCCAAGACCAGACTAAGCAGATCAACCTGACCAGACCGAGTAGACTAGCCAGATCAGCATGTCAGACCAGCCAGACCAGCCAGCCAGACCAGTCAGAGCAGCCAGCCAGACCAGCCAGCCAGGCGCAACCACAGCTAAATTATCCTGGCGAAATACCCAACCGTATGCAGTTGTGAATAACGGAGTTGTGAGTATGTCCTTCGGTGGAGCTCCCTAGCCGCATGCCAACGCAGCTGCTGAGGCCTTCGGTGGGCCTCCCTATGGGGGCCACAAGACGTTCGAGGGGTGTGCCGAAATGGCGGTGGAACGGCATGCGAACGCAGCCACTGTGGCCTTCGGCTGAGCTCCCTGTGGGGCCACGGAGCGTGTGAGGGGTGTGGGACCCCAAAACGTGTGAGGGGTGTGCCAACATGGGGGTGGAACCGCATGCGGACGTAGCCGCTGAGGCCTTTGATGGAGCTCCTTATGGGGTCACGAAACGTGTGAGCCGAAATGGGTGTGGAACCGCATGCGAGCGCAGCCACTGGGGCCTTCGGCGGAGCTGCCTGTGGGGCCACGAAACGTATGAGGTGTGTGCCGAAATGGGGGGTGGAACCGCACGCGAACGCAGCCGCTGGGGCCTTCATGCGAACGCAGCCACTGGGGCCTTCGGTGGAGCTCTTTATGGGGGCCACGAAACGTGAGAGGGATGTGCCGAAATGGGTGGAACCGCATGCGAACGCAGCTGCTGGGGCCTTCGATGGAGCTCCCATATGGGGCCATGAAATGTGTGAGGGGTGTACCGACATGGGGGTGGAAGTGCATGCGAACGCAGCCACTGGTGCATTCGATGGAGCTCCCTGTGGGGCCACGCAAAGTGTGAGGGGTGTGCCGACATTGCGGTGGAACGGCATGCGAACGCAGCCACTGCTGTGGCCTTCGGCTGAGCTCCCTGTGGGGCCACGAAACGTGAGAGGGGTGTGCCCAAATGGGGGTGACGAGGAGGGACGAGTGGGAGGAGGAGGAGGAGGAGGAGGAGGAGGGAGGGAGGAGGAAGGAGACGCGGGGCGCTGTTTCTTCAAAACGAGGACCCAACACCACAGGATGGTTGGGAAAAACTGCAATGCAGAGAAACATAATGCAAACACAAGTACACTTCAAATCACAATGGTTTCGTACCATCGTCGCCGCCATGCGCACTTCAACCCCCCTTGAACCTCACCAAACCACGCGTGGCTCGAAAGCGGAAGCCAACGCTGAAGCTCTAGCAGCACCACTGCAGAACAAAAACAAACAATGCCATACAAGAACAACTGCAATGCACAATTATCCGGGCGAGGGGCCCAACCATATGCAGGTGTGAGCACCGTCGTTGCGGGTATCGCCTTCGGGGGATCTCCTCGTGGGGCCTTGAAGCATGCGAAGAACGTGCCGATGTGGGGCGGTGCCGCCATCTGGGATATGCCATTGGTGCTTAGGCGGAACGCACTACGGGGCAGTGTAAAGTGTAACGCATGCGGGCGGTTGCGCTGGGGCCTTCGGTGGAGCTCCCTGTGGGGCCACAAAGCCTGTGAGGGGTATGCCGAAGTGAGGGTGGGGGACGCATGCGGGCGGCGGCACTGGGGCCTTCGGTGGAACTCCCTATGGGGCAACGGAACGTGTGAGGGTGTGCCGAAATGGGTGTGGGGGACGCATGCGAGCGGTGGCACTGGGGCCTTCGGTGGAGCTCCCTGTGGGACTACCAAACGTGTGAGGGGTGTGCCAAAATGGGTGCGGTGGGTGCACGCGAACGCTGGCATGTGGGCATTCGGTGGGGCTCCCTATGGGGCGACGAAACGTGAGGGGAGTGCCGGAATGGGGGCGGTGGGCGCACGCGAACGCTGGCAGTTGAGCCTTCGGTGGGGCCCCCTCTCGGGCCACGGAACGTATGAGGGGTGTGCCAAAATGGATGCGGTGGCCGCGTGCGAACGCTGACACTTGGGCCTTCGGTGGGGCTCCCTATGGGGCTACGGAAAAGTGAGGAGTGATGATTACGATGATAATGATGATGGCGATGATAATGACGATGCTGCTGATACTGATGACGATGATGATGACGACGATAATGATGTTGCTGATGCTGATGGTGACGATGATGATGATGATGATGATGGTGATGATGATGACGATGATGGTGATGATGGGAGGGGGGAGGGGGGGAGGAAGAAGGAAGGAGGAAGGACAACGCGGGGCGCTCTCTCTTCAAAGCGAAACCCAACACCACAGGATGGTGGGAATCAACTGTTGCCGTGTCGTCGCCGATATGTGCGTGTCAACCCTCCCTGAACATCTTCAAACTACGCTAGACTCGCACGCGAAATCTTAAGCTCCCTAGCAGCGCCACCACAGCGCAATTAGCCTGGCGAAAGACCCAACCATATGCAATTGTGAATACCGCAATTGTGAATACGATCTTCGCCCGCGCTCCCTATGTGGCCACGGCTTCCCGCCGGAGCCCGACATGCTCAGGGACACGTTCGTGGCCGTCTTCGCGGGCGCCGACGACAAGGACGGCGTCCCTCTGACCGAGGAGCAGGAGCAGGAGAGGGCCTTGAGAGCCGTGAGGGAGGAGGTGGCGTTGCACGTCGACAAGCCGGAGTACGACGCCCAGGCGCGGTTGTTGAAGCAGCACAACTATGGGGCCACGATCCTCGTGAGGGGTGTGCCGCAATGGCCCGGGGCCGCCGTGCGAACCCTGCCACTGGCGCCTTCGGTGGAGCTC